ATGCAAACATAAATACCCCAAACCTTCTCTTGACATATGAAGAATAAAGTTAGGTCTCAATATAATTTTACAGCCTTTAAGCATATTGATGGCATAGGTAACATCTGAAAATAGCATGTTTGTAATTCCTGCACTATAAACGCTTATTGTAGTTAGTAAATTGTCTCATATCCTCGGGGGCGGAGCTACGTCACGGACGTTCTACGTTGCTAAGACGCGCACCACTGTACCACGTATTTCTATGGGGCTTTGTGCGCGCTGCTGTGGAACGCCGTGGAGCCGGTGAAAACTCGAGAAAACAACACAAACTCAACTTTGAAGTAATCCTGAACAACCAAATTTATATATGTTACACACGTAGGGCTAATCTTGTTACACTGTTCAGGGGACTCTCAACAACCATCGCAAAGTACCGTTTTCTGCGAGTTTTTGGTCTTTGTTTTCACCGCGAGGGTTGCCAGGCGGTAGAAAATGCCCGGATGTCCGCCCCCGAGGATAGTATGTATATAGTATTTATTGCCAGTGAGTGCTATGCGAAAGAGTCCGTGATTATTCTCGCTCCTGCGATTGGTCAAAATATATTTGCTCTCATGCTTTTTGTTTACTCGTGCTATTTGACACTTTTCACATGACAAAATTCAAATGTTGTTCATAGTTTGGTTAATGCTCAGACTAGTAATACAATGTATTACTAGTCTGAGGTTTAACGTAGACGCCTACTCGTAATTCATGGGAGTAAGATAGTAATACACTATAAAAATCTATGTACAATCACGGAGCTGCAGTTTCATATATAATATGTAACAACATTATGTTGTATGATACAGTACAACATTTTGAAGGAATTGGTCAAATATGATTCACAATCACCTATTTTGGAACAGGTTCAACACAGTAGTCCATATCATAAGAATCTTTATATTTCATGTTACTGATGTGATTCTTTATTATTTTTTGTTAGCTAATGGGTGTAATTCTGAAGCAAAGTTTTCGTGATGATGGTGAATGTTTCTTTTTAGAGAAACGATGTGATGGAGTACCTGACTGTGAAGATGGCAGCGACGAATCGTGGTGTGATTCTAGTGAGTAACTTAAATTTGTTTATGTATGTTGTTGTTGTCCTTGTTGTTGTTGTTGTTTGATTCACAGGTACATTGAAAGAAGGCCGGGAGAATAATATAAACAAAGTAGTAGGCGGTTTCGCTGGTTCTTATTCAAACGCCTTGTTCAATTCGAAGCAAGAGAAACCGAAAAGAGCATGCCATGCATAGCTCAGCCCACGTGGTTATCGTTTCAGGCCTTCAATGAGTTTTACAATGAACGAGATCTGGTTCTAGAGACTTCAAAATGCCCGATTGTAGTTCATTTTAAAAACAATATTTG